TCGAGTTAATCCGACCTTTTGAAGGGGGTCAAAATCATGTTCAAAGATTCCGTTACATACCTACTAACTTACATATATTTATTACGTATGAATCTAATAAAAGCGTGTTAAAAAAAACCAACGCGAAGGAAACTTGTCATAATATTCTCACTCTTTGCTGCCAGTTCCTTTACTAAATACTTCTTAATTAAAACTACTTTTTACTATTTATTTTTGCGTTTTATTTACAATTGTCTATGTTTCGTCTATTAAATTAAAATAGATTTAATTATGACTCACTAGAACCTAAGAAAATACTTACCTACCAGGCTTGGTCGCGGATAAACCCTAACGTATTGTTTAAATACATGAAAGGGTTGAAGGTTTAGGGGATGGATCAACAATCATGTTTTTTTTTTTTTTTTAATTTTTTTTTTTTTTTTTTTTTTTTTTTTTTTTTTTTTTTTTTTTTTTTTTTTTTTTTTTTTTTTTTTTTTTTTTTTTTTTTTTTTTATGATTGAAAGTTTACTGGTGGCCCGAAGGCCTTTCCAGTTTCACCAGGACAGGTGGGCGAGCAAAGGCTCAGCCAAGAGGGGTGGGATTTGCTAACAACTGCCCGAGCGCCTCCGAAGGANTTCCAGAAAGAGCACTTAGTCGGCAGATGTACCACAAACACAGGCCGCGCGAACAATGGCCGGGCTAACAAAAGCCGGGCGAACAAAGACCGGGCGATCGAGTGGACGATGAGCACGTCCGCACGTGACGGGTGCCTCTATCGGAATGAACAATCATGTTATTTAAAGAGTCTGGATAAATGGCTGAACATACTATAATACTAAGGGGTACCCTGTAACAATTTTACCGCCTGCTTGTTGTAGTGTAATGGTACACGAGAAATCGTAATAGTAGTTCAGTGCGAGTAATGGTTTATAGTTCAGGGTCACTCACAGAAGTCGTGAGTTTTATCTAGAAGTGACCTAGCTACTATTTTTTTTTAATGCTTAGATGGGTGGACGAGCTCACAGCCAACCTGGTATTAAGTGGTTACTGGAGCCCATAGACATCTACGACGTAAACGCGCCACCCACCTTGAGATTTAAGTTCTAAGGTCTCAGTATGGTTACAACGGCTGCCTCACCCTTCAAACCGAAACGCATTACTGTTTCACGGCAGAAATAGACGGGGTGGCGGTACCTACCCGTGCAGATTCACAAGAGGTCCTACCACCAGTAAATTAATGCGATGACGTGCTCACTTACCTGTCAGTACGTGTTTCGTGTAAAGGCAATTATTCAGCGAGATATGTTGTTTAAATTCTTCATTCGTACTGGTTTTTTTTGCAGACGTGTGCGAAGTGTGACACGTTTGTAGGTATAATCATTTATCGTGCACCGGAGTGATGACTTGACGTTAGCGAATTAACTTGATGGTACCTACGTTTAAACATTAAACAAAAATCATCAATACTTTTATCGTAAAATATTCCTAACAACTGATACATTCTTTTTATAATTTGGTATAGTAAAACAAATTATATAATTATCATATTATAAGGTAGACAGAAGGGTATTTCTTTTTGATCAAATAACAGGGATATTTAAAACACCAATCCGTTTTGGAATGTCACCTTTAGAAAAATACGTTGCAGCCACTCTCTATTCCATTTTTTTTATAAAGTTATATCCAGCAACTATTTTCGATATGATTTTCACAAATAGTTATTTTTAATCTTCTTCTTACTAGCTTTTTCCCGGTATAGTGCCAGGGTCCGTTTTCCAACTTAAGCTCATCCACTTTTCTGGTCTTCGGCTTCCTTCTGGGTGAGGTTATTCTCCTCTTATACTATTTATCACATTCAACCAGCGTTTCTTGGCCCTACCGCGGGATCTTGAACTTAGTACGTAGAGTAAGTAGATTTCTTAAAGGAGATAACGTTAATTGATTATAAGGTATATGCTATGTACATATAGATGATCACTCAAAATAAACACATTAAGATTATCATTCCTATTGAAGAAGTGTGAGGTCTGAGTTTTTTTATTCAGACTTCTATGGTCGTACTAGACAGGTAGATAGGTTACAGACTTCGTCTGATGTTAAGTAGCAGGCGAAGTATATTGTAGATTTTTATTGTAGAACGAAATAACTTATTTGAATCGCATGACAGTTTTGCGCTAGAAATAAGTAGTAACTACCCGTACATACTGCAGATCCAATAATAACCTTTGCCTTAGATGCCTTCAGCTTTAACACTAGGAGCAGGCTTACGGACTGTGGTAACCCTACTCGTCGAACTCGGCAAAGAATTCGCCGTGCAACCTAACCCATGCATCAACTCGCGGAGTTTCTCGCCGGATCTTCTCAGCTGGTCGCGATTCCGATCCGGTAGTAGATTCACTCGCGAAGCAGTTGCTCTTGAGTTGTTAGGTTTCCTTTGGAGGCGTTCGGACAGCTCTTAGCAAATCCCACCGCTCCCGGTTAAACCTTTGCTCGCCCACCTGTCCTGGTGAAACTGGAAAGGTCTCCGGGCAACCAGTAATCCCACATTATTAAAAAAAAACCTACTGCCTAGCATTTCGCCCTGCCACCAATCAATACTAAAATGGTGAAAAAATATACTCAGAAAATATATGCATTTAATTTAAATAAAATAAACGTAAGCGACATTACATTTTGGTACATACCTACCGATACATTTTAATATTACATCATCATTTTCCATTCATTTCACAATGTTATTCCATTTATCAGTTCCTCTATCTCGTCTGTTATCACCTGTTAGGTAGGTACGTTCACTGGTTGGTTCAGTACATACAGCACCGATTCAGTGAGATATCTAGTTTTAGATTCTAATTTGAACAAAAAAATTCCATTAATTACTTTTTTATACGCTATTATAATTATCGATTGATAATTTGAAACCAACGCAACGTCTTGGGAATCACACACACACATGGTGATGTGATAAGTCCTTCGTATTTAAGATAACAAACATAATATAGAAATTTTACCTTCCAATAAAATTTGTATTATGTTTCCTAAGACGTCCGAAGTCCATTATGAGAGTACATCGTATGATTTCCACTGCAGGTCGCTAAATTTGACTACTTCCGTTTCCTAAGTCCCACCTACAGCGCCCTCTATAACGTCTGGAACCGAACCAACAAGCAAAGACAAGCCGCCATATTTGTCATTGTTCGGCTNGACGGATGCGAGTAGCAGATGGTGCCGCTTTTGTAATTTATCAATACCACCAATTTTCTGTATATATGCCAATAATAAGTTGGGGTTAAACATATAATCACAAGAAGAAGATATTTTCTCTATATCTTCCCTGATATATCTATCCTTTAATCTCTTTATGAAATATCTACGACGCTATCGTATAGCCTCGGCTCGCTTAGCGAAAATTATTTGAAGGATATCGTTAGAAACTTTTATAGGCGAAATCGTTACCGAATAGCGGTTTAAACTTTTCGTAAATGGCGGAAGTATTAAGCTGAACATTCTCTGAATTTGACCAGTCAGCAAGGTTTTGTATGGCAGCATAACGCATTCGTTCTGTGCCAAAAGAGCATTAGATAACGCAGGAAAACTTTTTGAACCTCTGAATACTGCACCGTTCCAAGTCGGCTAGTCAAATCTTTGCATATCTGGTTCTTTTATAGAAACGCTCAAATTTCAAAACCTACCCGCTTCTGGTAACGGACGGTCTGGTGGCGGACGTAAAAACTATTCGTCGTCTAATTTCGATTGGAAGTTGAAACCACATCAGACATTATTATTATAAGATGTTGGTATTTGTAAGTGTAAAGGCTGGTGCACGACCAGCAATAGCATGATTCGAAGTTAAAATATTATTCACATGACTCACCCATTATTGCGACAGTAAGTCAAACCTTTTATTCAGATCTCGCGACCAGTCACGCTTTCTAAGTTTTCTTGCTGGTCCCTCGTCTTTATTTTCCGACGAACCCGAAGAAATATCCGAAGAAATCGAAGAACTATCCTCACTTAAATTTTACTTTGAAAAGGCGCGATAACCTCGTCACTCATTGTAGAGCCTTGGAGGTTTCACGAAACGGAAGATAATCATAACACTTGTTTGAAACAAACTTTCTACTTCAAATCTCGAAAGTTGCTTATAACATTTTAAATTACTAACTTCTTAAAATATTAACGACTGCACGTGGGAAAAAACGACGCAACAATGTCAAATATGGCGGCTTGTCTTTGCTTGTTGGTTCGGTTCCAGACGTTATAGAGGGCGCTGTAGGTGGGACTTAGGAAACGGAAGTAGTCAAATTTAGCGACCTGCAGTGGAAATCATACGATGTACTCTCATAATGGACTTCGGACGTCAAACGGAACACATAATAATCTATAATGTCGTAGAAAATAAAAATACATTGTTAATTTAGGTTTAGATACGATTTTGGCGGCATTTTGTAAAATTTAATAGAAAAATATACAAATAATATATGTACAAACCTATATAAAATTCTATCAGTTTATAGTGTGTAAAGAGTGTCTGTACTATAAGAAATACGTAAAAAAAACTAGCAAACAATACAATATTTTTATTACCATTCGGGTAGCCGTCGTTGATACGGTTGTGGATTGCTAAATCATTATCTCAAGGTACCTATTACTAATTGCTGTTGAATTTCTATCATTGGATGAACACTAGTATGTTTAAAATAGTCTTTGCATTTTTTTTAAATGTTAACTATTTTTGGTCTGTACCACGACCATGTGGAACACCTTAATAATAACTTCATAATCGTTATAGAATAATAACTAGTTATGAAATGCATCTCAAGTTTACATAATACATAAAACATTCATTGAACATGACACAATTTTATCTTGTAGTTCGACGCCAGACTCACATGTGTGACGATAAATTTAAGACATCTAAATGCCATTGGTGGCTCTTTTTGTTTTTGTTATCACAATGACTATGCACTTATTACATATGTATGTATATCTACTACGTATTTATATTCTAAACGCGATAAAAAAAAAAAAAGTCATACTCACCGCAAGAACATTGGAAGCGTCGCGTCGTATGTTTAAAAGATAAAAGTATTAGTCCACTCACGAACTCGGCGGTACGCAGTAAACATGGCCCCGGAAATTAAATACACCAAGGTACAAGTCGATTTATTTTTTAATTTAAATTATTTATACGGTAAATCTCTTTTTAAAAGTAAAAATTATGAATAAGTTGAATACCTTTTTTTAATTATAAGATAAATTTGTAGGTATATTTTTAAAGTGCATAGTTATTTACCGGTTATGGAAAAATAGTTTTCCCTCTGTATTATTATTTGTCAACAAATTGTTGGAATAATTGGAATCGATGTTTATATTTTTGTACATTCGCATGTACAAATGGTATACTTTTAAAAACCAAACCAAAAAACAATTGGTATACTTTTAAAATTCCGTATAAATAGTCACTGGCTTTAGCCAGCTTACGTAATTTACTCGGTACGACGAGTGACTTCCTGATTTTAAGTGTGGTTGTTAAATTAAAGTGAGGCTAGACGTGTAATAAGTCGTAGTGGTAAATAGTGTGTCTATCTGGCTTCATCAGAACATAAGGAGATGCAATTGTGGCCTTGAGCTACTTCTTCTCCATTATATATCGACAGTAGTATAATAGAATATAAATACAGTACTTTTTATACCTAAATCTCTAGCCCGATTTCAGTTCGTCGTGGCCTAAAGGATAAGACGTCCGGTGCATTCGTGTTGAGCCATGCACCGGTGTTCGAATACCAGGCGGGTACCAATTTTTCTAATGAAATACGTACTCAACAAATGTTCACGATTGACTTCCACGGTGAAGGAATAATATGGTGTAATAAAAATCAAACCCGCAAAATTATAATTTGCGTAATTACTGGTGGTAGAACCTCTTGTGAGTCCGCGCGGGTAGGTACCACCAACCACCATGTCTATTTCTGCCGTGAAGCAGTAATGCGTTTCGGTTTGAAGGGTGGGACAGCCGTTGTAAATATACTTGAGAACTTAGAATTTGTAACTCAAGGTGGGTGGCGCATTTACGTTGTAAATGTCTATGGGCTCCAGTAACCACTTAACACCAGGTGGGCAGTGAGCTCGTCTACCCATCTAAGCAATAAAAAAAGGCTACATGAATACACCGCTCTGCACATATTTGTCTTGAAATAAACATATTATGTGCTAGTGCTGGCGGAATTCACGATGAGCTCCATATGGGTTTCTAGTTCTAGTCGAACGTTGTTGGACAGAGAGAGAGATTACGTGCCAATTAACAAAAAAAAATGTTTGTTCTTTTTTCAGTTGTTCATTGACAACGAATGGGTTGATGCGAAAGATGGCGAAACATTTGATACATTCAGTCCACACGACGGATCAGTCATCGCTAAAGTAGCCAAAGGAAAAAAGGTAAATTTATAAAGTATAGAAACAGAAGGTACTCGTTTATGTTTAATTAAATCAAATCCGAGAAATAATGGCGACACGTTTAAATTGTATTGCGTCACTGGCCTGTTTGGTTGGCTCGTAATATGTGTTTATCTATCTATATTAATATTATAAAGACGAAAGATTTGTTTGTTTGTTTGTATTGAATAGGCTCCGAAACTACTGAACCGATTTGAAAAATTCTTTCACTGTTTGGAAGCTATACCATTCAAGAGTGACATCTATACTAATATTATAAAGAGGAAAGATTTGTTTGTTTGTTTGTATTGAATAGGCTCCGAAACTACTGAACCGATTTGAAAAATTCTTTCACTGTTTGGAAGCTATACCATTCACGAGTGACATAGGCTATAATCTTTTTTGAAAAAAAATATGGATCCTTACTAAAACTCCAATAATGTAACCCAAGATGTAAAAAAATTACCCAAAATATTCTTTACATCGCGTGTCCTGCGAAAACTATTGATGATAGAAAAAAATAATGTACTACGACTTTGTAGAACACATTATTATTTACAAAAAATGTTTTACAAAAAATGTCGCGACTGCATATGTCTAACTATTATAGTTACGCTGCAATAAGTGTTCTTTTATTTAAAAAAATAAAAAAAAAAACGTCAAATGTCGTTGACATTTTTGTTAAAAACCCGAGCAGAGCCGGAGCGAGTCGCTTGTAAAATTATAACCATAACGAATCATGAATCACTTAAAATTATTTGACGTTTAACAAGTTCGAAGACGTACTTGAATCCATCATTCTTTGTTAACGCGTTAATAATATAAGATATTACGACTGTAATTGTCACCATCGCCCTCTATTATTTTACAGCAAATAAGTGTACACTAGGACTAGCTTTATTACTACAGTGTAGATGATGACTCCAATTTTCAAGGTGGCCGAGTGTTCACGCTATTGTAAATGAGAGTTCCAGAAACCTTTTAAAATGGGCCGTTGGCTCGCCTATTTATGATAATATTTAAAGCTTTTATTTATAATTTTTGTTGTTTTCGTGGTACTTTTCATGTTGGATAGGATACCTGAATACCTACCTAAATACCTTGGGTACCTATTACGAATGTATTATAAGATATCAGTAGTTCTCAACCCTTTTTTATTCAGTGACGCCCTAGCAAACAGGTTACAATTTCACGACACCCTTACATAATTAAAATCTATTAAACTTAGTTGTGCATATTATTATAATATCGAGTCAACGACCGTATTTGGCTCATATGTACCCTAGAGGCGCAATTCCACCTTGTCACCTTAGATAAAGCTGTAGTACTTGTATATTTCGGAACACCGTGGTTGAGAGCAACTGAGATGTACAGCAGAACACATTTAACTAAAACATTGATAATATCTTCAAATGTTTTATTCAGGCTGATATTGACGCCGCAGTGGCAGCGGCGAAGCGTGCGTTCCAACGTAACTCAGAATGGCGGTTGGCGGATGCCTCGCAGCGCGGAAAACTACTTTACAAGTTCGCAGATCTTATTGAACGCGACTTCGAATATCTCGCGAAACTCGAGTCATATGACAATGGCATGGTTTATAAAAATTGCCTTAGAATACTTTCAGGAATTCCTGACAGTGTAAGATACCTAGGCAGTCTGGCGGACAAAATCCAAGGCGATACAATACCAACTGGTGAGAGACTTTTTTGCTATAACATAATCATATCATTAAAAACACAATGTAAGTTTAGAATTCATTTCAATTAATTTCAATTATGTTTTTATAGTCATATTAAAGAATGAATAAAAATCAATAGTATTGGGATGGCATTCCCGATCCTGCGGACTGAATGATAAACAGACGACGTCGCCCAAAACATGTCATTTCGGATCCTCACGATCCACTAACGATGCTTTTAGGTACCCCAAGCACCGGTCATCGTTCTCGCCGAACCCGTCGCTTAGGACGAAGGGCTTGACGAGCGAATTAACCCATAGACACAGCCCACTGAGTTTCTCGCAGGATCTTCTGGGTCACGTTTCCGATTTGGTGGTAGATTCTGCGAAGTACTGCTCTTGCTAGGGTTCGTGTTAGCAACGTCGTCAGGATGAGCTCACCTACTTGTTAAGGCTACGCTGAAATGGTCTCTCAAGACCATCAGCCTAGGCAGGGAAAAAAATTGTGATTGTATATATGCTGGTAAATAGTTGGTCAGGGGCTATTCCAATGCAATCGAAATGTTGGCCTCATGTTATGATTCGAAGCAGCATTTTCGTTCTCTATGACTAAAGATGATATGTGACAATTCACTTAAATGAATATATCTTCGCATAAGCCCTTCCTTTTTCATTCATTCCATGTACACGCGTATTAGCTGGAATGAAATATCATTCAATAGATACAGATTGTCCTCAAGCGCCTCGTGCATTTTGGAATTACTTTAAATGTGATCTAAGTGATCAAAGAATTAACAAAGTAACAAACTTTACAATTATAGAACTTAATTATTAAGAATAGAATTAACAATTTTCTGACTGTCTTGAAGATATCGCTCTTAGCGATAAAACTGTTAAATACCATTTTTATATTACTTGTTTTTTATATTATTGTTATTAATAAATTTATTAAAACTACTATTATACATACATTTTTTTAAATGTTTTTTTTAAATCACATATAAAAAAATGGTCCTGGTCCCGGTGTCTATGACAAAAACGAAAATACTAAATGCAAAGTCGTAAAATGAATTTAATTTCTATCCTTGGATCGGTTCACTAATGAATTCATTCAGAATTTTTATTTCATTTTGCGCTCAAACGTCACATATTCAACGAAAGATGATAATTAAAAATAAATTCATCATTTGAATACCCACATCTGTTAGTATTAAATTTTCCGAATGCTTCATGAATTTTTTTTGTTTCTCATACTAAGCGCTGGTAATTTTGAAAGCAAATCAACTATGTATTTCACAACCGGGCAGCATACTTAATATAGGTATTATTAAAATATAACGCGAAGCGAGAATAAAGCTTAAGTCAGTGCAAATTTTTGGTGGTTAGGGATTTATGTATATATCCAGTGGTTAAAGGCTATTTGGTTTAAGCTTATCTTTTTTTTTGTTACTTTGATGGGTGGACGAGCTCACAGCCCACCTGATGTTAAGTGGTTACTGGAGCCCATAGACATCTACAACGTAAATGCGCCACCCATCTTGAGATATAAGTTCTAAGGTCTCAGTATAGTTACAACGGCTGCCCCACCCTTCATACCGAAACGCATTACTGCTTCACAGCAGAAATAGGCAGGGCGGTGGTATCCAACCGTACGGACTCACAAGAGATCTTACTACCAGTAAAAATGATCTTTGTAATTATAGTTGTGTTTCTTTGGTATTAGCATTAACATTCGATGTTTTTATTTGAACTTCAATTAAGTTTACCCCATTTAAGCAGCTCAAGATTTTTTTGTTATTTTTTCCAAGCTTTAACCATTAAATGGCTTTCCTGTGAAGTTACAAAAATATAGCTTAAATCAAAAAGCCTTTCATTTCTCGATATGTACACATTCAACCACGTGGCGGGCTATGGGAGAGGCAGCAATAATTGAGAGGTAGGTATACAGGCTGACGTTGAAGCATATATTGACTTTCACCAAAACACATATTTTCACGATTTGTTAACGAATCCAGCTAATAAATTCGATTGTAGTTCGAAGATAATATTATATACTAGCTGACCCGATAGACTTCGTAGTGCCTCATCGATAAATAAAAGACCTAAACTTTTGTACAAAATAAACTTAAAAACAAACAAAAGGAATCCGTCCGACGGGAGACACATCAAAGAAAAACAAAATTGTTATTTTTATTTAGTTCCGAGCATTTTCATTCATTTATCTACCTTTAAACCTACTCTGGACTTCCACAAATCATTCAAGACCAAAAATTAGCCAAATCGGTCCAGCTGTTCTCGAGTTTTAGCGAGACTAACGAACAGCAATTCATTTTTATATGTAGAGATTTTTAGAGAGTCTGAAAAATACAATATACGGTTAATTTCGAACAATTATATTGTTTCACAAAGATGGCGATTCATTCAGTTACACATTGAAACAGCCCGTTGGAGTGTGCGGTCTCATTTTACCCTGGAATGTTCCCATCCTGATGTTTCTGAACAAAGTCGTGACTGCCTTAGCAGCAGGTAAGCATCATCTGAACATGCCATGTTGCCATGACACAGTTTTACAGTATATATTTATAATTTATTGTGCATTAGTGAATTCTAAAATGTAATTAATGACTATCGCCATACCTAAATGAAACACAATTTGGTACAACTTAACATTGCTTTTGGAATCAAGATTAAAACAAACCCTTTTTGATACCGAGCATCGGTAAAATATTCAAGAAAAAAAGGTCATCATGCTAAGTATTTGTCGCTTCCACATTTCTGCGCCAGCTTCTAAATTTGTAATGAAATATACTAAAAGATTGAATGACCTACATAAATGGTAATCAAAAATTTTCAAGCGATTAACAACAAGTGCAGTGTTGTGACACAACAAAATTGTGAACCAACCTTTAGGAGTAGAAGTGAATTGTTCCAAAATCACCGTAAAATAATATTTATTATTGATGATCTTTCAGGATGTACAGTGGTAGTGAAGCCGGCAGAACAAACACCATTAACTGCTTTGGCATTGGCCGCACTGTTGAAAGAAGCTGGCATACCTAAGGGTGTAGTCAACATCGTGCCAGGATTCGGAGAAGATGCAGGAGTGGCGCTCACACATCACCCTGATGTTGCCAAAATTTCCTTTACAGGATCTTTGGAGGTGGAGACTAATTTTTAATCAATTAAAAATAATTACAGTACAGTCAAGTTTATATTAAAAACACTGAATCAAAACATTAGAAACTCATAAAGACTTGATTAAAAAACGTCTACAGTTTAAATATCTAAATAACCTACATATATAACCTAACCTAAATAGCTGAAGTAATTAATCAAGTTTTAACATGTTTTTAATCATGTCTGCGGTTCGTGAAAAACCGCAGAAAATCTTGATGAAGATCTTACTATTACTATTACTATATATGTATAGGTATACTATCTTTATGACTACGAATTAATACCTTTCTTACATCTTGAAAAACAAACACTTAAATATTAATTTTAATACTTTAAGTCGTCGTGGCTTAAAGGATGATACGTCCGGTGAAGTCGTATCGAGCGATGCAACGTTGTTTGAATCCCGCAAGCGGGTACCAATTTTTCTAATGAAATACGCACTTAACAAATATTCACGATTGACCTCCACAGTGAAGGAATAAAATCGTCTAATAAAAGTCAAACCCACAGAATTATAATTTGCGTAATTACTGGTGGTAAAACGTGTTGTGCCCTACCCTGCCTATTTCTTCCGTGAACCAGTAATGTGTTACCAGTTAACCGATAGCAGCCGATAAAAACCCATGACAGCTGATGGCAATTATCACTTTGGAATTATTTATACTGAAAAATAAGTTTAATTTGTGTAACCTATTCTTCAGGTAGGCAAACTGATCCAAAAGGCAGCTGGAACAAACAATTTGAAGCGTGTCACTCTCGAACTCGGAGGCAAGAGTCCACTAATCATAATGAATGACGCCGATTGTAAGTGATAATGGTCTTCTGTCGTACCATGAATTTTTTTTATTGTTCATGCAATGGAAAACTCTAGTGAAGGGTCCTTAATTAATTTGTGGGTTTTCAGTAAATTTAGCCATCCCTTATGCTGGCAGCGGTGTATTTTTCCACCAAGGACAAATTTGCGTGGCTGCTTCCCGCTTGTACGTCCAGTCGGGTATTTACGACAAATTCGTGAAGGGGGCCGTTGAATATGCAAAAGCTATCCGGGTCGGCAATCCTTTTGACGAATCAACTGTAAACGGACCACAGGTGACTTTAATGTAAACCTAACTGTACTAATATTCTACTGCGTTCAACAAGCTTCGCACTCAAGTAAAAGGTACCAGTGTGCTTAGTACGAGTTTTTTAAGGTTATCGATAACATTTGTTGCTAGGGGTGGTGGTCCAACTACATTCTTTGAGTTAACTTTTACGTTATCGAGAACGTTAAGAAACTCGTACTAAGCACACTGGTACCTTTTACTTGAGTGCGAAGCTTGTTGAACACAGTAGAATATTAGTACATACTTTTTATAATAAATATATTTATAAATACTTTTTGGTAAAATTTTACAATTTTGGGTACTAGAAGGAATACCTAACTAAAATTTTCAAATAAATCTTTAACTTACGTTTACAGATTGACGAGTCTATGATGAATAAAGTTTTGGGCTTAATAGAGACCGGAAAAAAAGAAGGAGCGAACCTACTGGCAGGTGGAGAACGTATTGGTACCGCCGGATATTATATCCAGCCTACTGTGTTTGCAAATGTTAATGATGATATGACTATTGCTAAGGAAGAGGTATTTTTAATATAATTTGATAAGTTAATCATTAAAGTAAGAAACGATTTAGAATCAGGAATTTAGTAAGACATTCTTTATCAATAAGGATTCTTCAGTATACCAAAAAGTTCACGTCTATAGTTGATAGTCTTTTACTGTCAAGATTAGCCCTCTGAGTTTCTCGTCGGATCTTCTTAGTGGGTCGCGATTCCGATCCGATGATCGATTCAGCCAAGTACTACCCTTGCTAGGGCTAGTTAGCAAATTCACCAGGCCGAGCCTCGTGAGCTCGCATAGACGTTAGATGAACCTAGTATAACCCCACGAGGCTACTAGGATAGGTAGGGAAAAAAAGCCATTTTGTTTTTTACAATAGGTATTACTTTTATACGTCAAATTTACTCCACGCAGAAAAAGGCGCTCCAGACTTTCGATTATCTTAATATTACGGATCGTTTTGTAACCTTTGTGTCTATTTGAGGATTTTGGTTCTCTTTGTGTATTTATATGAATGTGGAATGAATGATACAATATTTTTTTGTGATGATATTTTCATCTCCGTTGCTCGTACCCTCATTACCGGTTTAGTGTCTAGCTGTACGAAACGACAGTATGGATGTACTGACATGAAAATGCTGAGTTTCTGCTTCAGTGCCTTTGCCACGAGATTTTTCCCCACGTACTATCTAGTTCTGGCTCAAACTTTCCTATGAAAGTGGCAAATTTACAAAGCGATTTTATCTTGTTATTGTCATGTTTTTTACATATTTGATATTTGACAGATTTTCGGTCCAGTCCAGAGCATTCTAAAGTTCGATACATTGGAAGAAGTGATCGATCGCGCCAATAATACAAATTACGGTCTTGCAGCTGGAATCTTCACTACAAACCTTAACAACGCATTGCAGTTTAGTAAGCATGTCGAGGCCGGAACAGTTTGGTAGGTGTTTTTTTATTTTATTTTGAAGGCAAACGAATTTACGTCCTACCTTATGGTAGCTAGTTACCATTAGTTTGAGTTATCAGCAATGACAAGTCATAGTATTTAGGAAACACCGTAGAACATCGTAGTCACAAAAAGCCCTACGTCCAGTAATTAAAATAAATAAATTTTGTGCGGTTTTTGGTTCTTATTACGCAATTTTATTTTTTCTTCGTTACAGTCATTCTTGAACGTTTGTTAGTATATATTATTTTGGAAAAATCGTAGCTGTCTGCGGGATTTAAACGCCGAAATAGTTACATTGTACGATACGAGTAGACTAGACCAGGCATCTTATTCTGTAGACCACAACGATAAGCGACTAAATTTGAAAATATCATTAAAATAGAATTGCTGAAATATGACAGTGACATTTGAAACTTTCGTGCTCTGTTTGGGCTATTTTGAGGGAAAGTTGACCTGCTATATGACTTCATGGTAGGGCCCCAGATGTTGAATATTTTTTTATTTTATCTCCAAAACGAAAACTTTTTGGATCGCGGTTTTGCATTGACTTTATCATAAAATCAATTCAATTATAAAATTAGAATAATATCATCTCCTCAAAATGGTTGATATTGCGAACTGGTTGATATAAATTAAATTATAATTAATATAAAATTAAATAATTCTCGAAAAGTAAAGCCGTGTTGAAGGACTTTTTAATGTTTGATGTTACGAAAATTGATGTTGATATTATTACTTTTTGAGAAAACAAATGATCTTTGTTCAGAGACCACAAATAATAATTGTTTTCAGGGTGAATAACTACCTGACAATGGCACATCAAGCACCTTTTGGAGGATTCAAGGATTCAGGATTAGGCCGTGAAAAGTAAGTATTTGTTTTTTAAATCTGTAACTATACTTGAGACCTTAGAACTTATATCTCAAGGTGGGTGGCGCATTTACGTCGTAGATGTCTATAGGCTCCAGTAACCACTTAACACCAGGTGGGCTGTGAGCTCGTCCACCCATCTAAGCAATAAAAAAAATCTCAAATTGTCTCAATAAAGTTTTTTTTGAATTGTAGTATAACTAAAGAAAATATTGATTATTTTATAACAAAACCATTGAATCTTTAAATTAAAGTAATTTAAAATGGATAGTTATTATAATGTATTACGGGATCATGTAATGTAATATAATGTATCACGTATGTTATATGTGAAACATAAATTTATAATATGCTAGCTGACCCTGCAGACTTCGTAGTGCCTCAATCGATAAATAAAAGACCTAAACTTTTGTATAAACTTAAAACAAACAAAAGGAATCCGACGACGGGGGACACATCAAAATAAAATTGTTATTTTTATTTAATTCGGAGTATTTTCATATTTATCTACCTTTTAAACCTTCTCTGGACTTCCACAAATAATTTGTACGGTTTGCACATACCTAACTAATACGTGGACACGCCGTGCGTCGTCATTGTGGTGTCAGGTTATTTTATTATATTCTTAGAGCAGTGCACTTAGCAACACGCACTCGTTAAGACGTTACCATCTGTCCTTTACCAATATAATAAAGGAGCTCAAACAACATACTTAGTTTACTCTTTGGAACTCAACAAAACTTCCCCTTGGACCCCAACATAATTCAAGACCAAAATTAGCCAAATCGGCCCAGCCGTTCTCGAGTTTTAGTGAGACTAACGAACAGCAACTCATTTTTATATATATAGATTTTGTAAGAGGACTAAAATAAATAAATAAATCAATAAATAGTTACACAATTTCGTAATAAATAAAAACTTCCTACACATTTTTCCTATGTAAAACAATATTTCGGCAGGAGCAAGGAGCAACATTGTTTTAGCTAAATATGATTTACAATGTTATTCCTTGCATGTGTCGATTTAGAAACAATATTGTTACTTAAAAATATTGTTCTACCAGAACAACCACATTTACCAAGGTTTACTTTCAAGTCAAGGATCACAGAGCGAATAACAATTTAAAAAGACAAAAACGAAATGTGAACTTGAAGATTAAACTACAAAATGAAGTTCAATCTTTGTTCAACTGATATATACTATAACTAATATAATGTATTTGTTTGCAGTGGTAGCAAAGCAGTTGAAGCATATTTGGAAGAGAAGACTGTCATAATTTCTCTCCCTAAAAAGCTTTGAAGGTGCCACTAAAAATGTTTTAATCAATTAAATGCTCAATTCACAATAGCCAAATAATAATATCCTAACTTAAATGCACCGGATAATATTAGAATGACAAATAATTCATTTTTGCGTGGTTCCAATGAAGCTTCCCTTTGCCGCGTGATAGTTTTTGCCTTTTAATATTACAATGTAAAAAGTACCTTATTGTTGTATGCGTATAAAAAAGAGTTTCAATTTTTAGATCATTTAAAATGTTAAAGTGTTCAAAAAATAATAATTAAATAATTTGAAATTGAAGTGTTTTTTTTTGTGCGTTACAAAAATAGCCTTTAAGATTCTACATATTATATTAATCATAATGAATGACGACGATTGTAAGTCTAGATCGATAATGGTCTTCTGTCGTACCATGAAAACTGTTTATTGTTCATGCAATGGAAAACTCTAGAGAAGGGTCCTTAATTGTCCTTTCTGTATTTAATGTAAATGTCACTGTGATTGACTTAAATGTCTCAAAATGAGCGCCGACTTTTCTGTTAAAGTATCTATGGAATCTGGTGACCTCTAAATTAGTGGCGGTTTCAATCTGGCCCTAGCACTGCTGATGTCCGTGAGCTGAGATGAGCATTCACCATAAGGTGACATTTTCTGCCAATTTTAGGGAAAACAAAAGCGGCCATAAGTTTGATATTTCATTGTTATAAGCAACGATGTTACCATAATTTTTTATCAATCAATCAATTAATTATTATTTTCTTTCGACAGACATAAAAAAACGCATGAATAAGTTCAACGCCCCGATATGCTTACTCTTCCAGAGGAATTAAATATTAAGCAGTGCGTGAAGTGACTAGCAAATTATGGTCTATGAGAAAATGATTGTCATATTATTTATTGTATTAGAACTATACTAACTATAAATATATTTAACTAGCTTTTGCCCGCGACTTCGTCCGCGTGGAATAGTTACTTTGGTATAACGTTAAATTTTACCCCCCTCTTCATTTACGTAGAAAGTGAAAATATTTTTGAATAATAGAGAATGTTAAGGAGCTATTTAAAGTACTAAAATCACGCTTTTTAATTGATTTCAAAAGAGGAAGTTATTAATTCGATCATAATTTTTTATCTATGTTTGTTTACCGATTTCTCGAGAATGCTTGAACCGATTCTGATAATTCTTTTTCTTTTTTTTTTGTTCGAAAGGGTAGACTTCCCGAATGGTACTGTAATCATCAAGATTTGATGATGGGATCCTGGAGAAATCCAGAAAAAAAGACTATCTTGAAGTGATTTGGGTGTTTCAATGTTGTAACGAATAACGTATTTATTTGGACAGGGATTAATATCATCTTTATAAAAAGCACCTTCACAAATAATGGTTTATTTTAGAACAACATTGGTTAGCATAAAAAACGTTATATTGAGCCAACCTTAACATATAGACGTATGCTATTGCGGACTTTTTTTTTAGATTTTTTAAAGGAGGACAATTCTGTCATCCATTATTTTTTGGGTACTGCTCAAGCACGCGGTCAGTCCCCTGTTGTACATGCTCAAACAGAGTTTACCCCGCATCACTGCTGTGGGATCTGTACAGGCAGGCGTAGATTCAGGTACATCCCCCATGATCTGCGCGCAATCACAAGAGGGATAAGTCCGTTGCTCGAGGCACCGAAGACTGCGACAACAGACATCAGCCCGGACGAATACGCACACCCCGGCTTTAACGTAGAACGTAGGATTGGGAGAGGTAGTATGTTTGAGATTTGACTAAGGCAAAACCACAGGTTGCATGAATGGCCGACACAGGGCATGGAAGGGCCCCAGTCCACCTTCGCGGGCATCCACTTCGGTCTCCGACTCCGGCGCGACGACTGCACGATAGGGTTTGCACCGGTCGGCGGGACATTTGTTTTTTGGCCATTTAGCTGTGATCATCTGTGAAAATGTACAGTTTTGGAAAAATGTGACAACATTAGATGTGGCCTTTCGGATTTTCTAAAAAATCCTTTATGCACACAATTGTTAGTAAACTACAACCATTTGATTAGGTCATGGCATTTTATCTCGTTTCATTGCATCCAATACGGTTCCGTATCCTTACCATTTCACATATTATTATATAATAAATCAAAATCAGATCATTCCGCTCTATTTCATTTTTATAACACAAAATATTGCATTTTGCATTCGAGTGAAATTTTCTTCGTATTTTAACGGCATAAAGTTGTAATAAAATCTTTTAAGTTATGTTGTTTTTATCTGACTGATTTTTATACTAATAAATAGATATTTTGTAAACAAAAATTGGTTTGTACCAGTTTGCTGCCCGCCAAATTAACTGAACCTGAAGAATGAACATTAGATGTTATAATTATAAAATTTCGTTCTTACGAGAAATAGGAAACTGCGACATTCACGTTATGAACTTAATACAGGTTCACTAAGAATAGCACAGAATTTTATCAAGCGTTAAGTTCGTTTTTTATATAAAAAATGAAGATCAGTCTTCTCGACCTATTTATTACAGATCAAGACGATGCCAATTTTTATAAAGTGAAGCAAGATGAAGCTAGCACTGATGAAAAACGGATTACCATGATAAGAATCTGTGTAAAATGTTTTGACCAGAAGGCATTGCGGCTCTATTAGCGATTGTAAAACTTGGATTCATTTTGAACGAGGTAAGGTAATGTTATGTGTTTGGTGGGACCGGAAAGGCATCGTATATTGAGCCTGGGTCGCCGGGCAAAACCATTCATGATGAGATTCAAGCAAGAAACAGAGAATAATTGGCCGGAATTTATCAATAGACAGGACGTGGTTTTTCATTATAATAATATGAAATCACACACATAAACCACTCGTGAAACATTGAGAGATGCGGTTGGGGAGTGTGAACGCCTCCACCACATAGTCGTAAAGTTTCACCTTCAATTTTCACCAAATACAGTTCTTTTAGAACTATTTAGGTAATAAGTTGGAGTAATTTCTTGATTTGAAGTCCTGTAATTTCAAATTGTGCATTACTTACAAACCGGTAAGAACTTCGATAACTATCGAAGAAAATGGCGCAGATTAATTATAGCTAATTAATTCTTAAATGATAAACATGTCTTGAATTTGAACAAAACATTTTCCTGTTCTATTACTACCTACCTTGTTTATGTAATATATAATAAATGAATATTTTTAAACTTGACGCTAAGAGCAAGGGTAAGCAAGAAGATGAATGTCATACTTAAGAAGAAGGTCTAACAATGACAAAACAGAACAAAAACAAATGCGAGGAATTTCTGTTATAGTTAAAAGCGAAAGTTGTTGAATATGTTACAAAGTGAAAGTAGGGCTTAAAGTTGTCGTGACTTAAAGGAAAATATGCTTGGTGTGCTCGTGTCTAGAGAAAAGAGGCCACCGTTTCCGAAATTGTTATTAAATGCATCATCATATTCATAATGATAAGTTATCGTTTGTTTTTAACCTGAATGACGACACACGATATATGTATTTTTTTATGTTTACACCTCAATTTACAGAGAGAGATATAAAACACTCCGGTATTCTCTTTCAACAAAAACTAGAAAGAAGACTAACAAATTCACGGAAGCAACTCAAAGTGGTCCAAGTAAAATCAGAATTCAAAACATGAATAATAAAGTAAATCCGTGAATATTTTTTCTGTTTAGTTAATAAGGCTTTGATAAAAGGTTCGTCATTGTGTATAATGAAACCTTATTTAGTGCGATATACGAAACTTTTAGCCGCATCTTAAACGTATTTTAAGAACCGACACTAAGATACAACTAAGTATCACGATTTAAAAATTTTAATTAGCGAAGGACCCTTTCCTTCACTGTATGGTCATCGTTGGGTTATAAGCCGAACTAATATTTAATATCATATATGTATTTTAAAAACTTAAAAAACATGCTTAAACAGCACCCTGAATTAACGTTTATCTTTGATTTTGATCCTGTTGATACTGGTCAAGATTTTGAACCTAGTTATAAATTTATAGCATTGACACCGGCTCTTAATGCGTGTCCAAATTTTCAATTAAGCCGGGCGTTTTGAAGTTATTGTTCATAATTTTCGGTAAAAAAGAAATTCCGTTAAAAACATATAAACTTAGTTTGCCAATACAAAACACAAAAAAATAATAGAAAATAAACAAACATACACATTAATAAAAAACGTGTTAAAAAAGAAGAGCCTAGTTTGTAATCAGAATTCTGCCGATTTTTTGTGTAGCATTCTGACGAAGACCTAATTTTTTCATGATGTATTCATATTTACAGTTAACCTACAAAATAGTTTTACTTCAGGCTATTCGAATTAGATTTAGTCGTCATTAGTCTATTAATTTTGAATGAGATATTGTATTTTATATCAAATAATATGAATGATTAAAAGGAATAGGATTTAAGTGACAAGCAGCGGGATAAGGAGGACGAGCATGCGCTGGACTGAATGTCGTTGGCCGCCGCCATACTCCACGTATCCCGCCGACAAGGGCTGACGCGCCACAGCGCTGCCCCGCTCTATAAACACGAAAGGACTTTCACCGTACTTTAAGCATTGTTTGTAAACAAAAAAATCCATGTACTAGATTGCAAGAATTACTGAAATTACGTCGTGAGTGCTCATAATTCAAAACTTAATGGTTGACTTTGAAGATAAATTCTCCGTCTAGAAACAAGAATTAACATTGAAACATACAATTAAACATCTTGAAAAACTGAGGTAAACTAATACTTAAATATTAATTTCTTCCTTATTAGTTTTTTTATATCTGGATGGATTTAAAAGAATTATGAAATGAAATTTTGGAAACGCTTACAAATTTACCCACTAATATTTGATTGACTTCTGATAAGTTCATTCTCAAATGCGTGTTTGTTTTAGTCTTTTCAATATTTGTAGCCAATGAACTATGGTCTCCGGTAACCACCGGTTGGCTGATGGTATGAGCTTCTTTAGCCCATTTAGGGAATAAAAAGTTAAGCGACTACTATCGCAGTAATATTTTGTACAATTAAATTATCGTTTTATTTAAATCTACGAAAATTGGCTCTAGTGAGCATAGCACTCACAAAACGTAACAACCAAGGGTCTGTTTAAGCTCCATTTACAGATTACACAAATTAGTGGCGTCTTTTCAATTTTTTCTTATTGTAATCTAAAAATACGGCTAGAATAACAAATCAGATAATTAGTTTCAATGTAATGTAGTCAACATTGCACTGACAAAAAAAATGACGTTCTGTCTCTCATTTTCAGT